GCATCCTTGGCAAGTTACTCTTTCAGTTTAAAGTTATTAACTTCCTGGATGCATAAAACTGAGATCTAAATCTGTTACATGGAAAATTCTGACTTGTTCTTGAGAATTAACGAATTTAAATATTGGATAAATTTGGTGAAGATCAAAATTGCTGATCAATCCAGCTATGAGCCAATACTCAAACTGTAAAATAATTCACTAATAAGTCATCTAGGACTGAATCCATTTTTACTTAGTTCATTCAGCATGAAACAAGAATAATCATGGATGAAAATGCATCCTTTGCCGAAGCCGGTTTGGCTCAGTGGATAGAGCGTTGGCCTGCGGACTGAAAGGTCCCAGGTTCGATTCCGGTCAAGGGCACGTACCTGGGTTGCGGGCACATCCCCAGTAGGAGATGTGCAGGAGGCGGCTGATCGATGTTTCTCTCTCATCGATGTTTCTGACTATCTCTCTCCCTTCCTCTCTGTAAAAAATCAATAAAATATATTTTTAAAAGAAAATGCATCCTTTGCCCTCATTCATAGCTGCCTAGTTTGAAAGATATGGATGAGTTTGATGACTAAGCTTGACAGTTAGGCAGCTCAACCCTCTTCAACCCTCCTACCTTTCCTTCTTTCTTGTTCCATAACTTAGGCATATTGAGGCATATTCATTATAGACACAAAACAATGCAGCAAACAAAATCAGGGAATACTAACCATTTGGATTTTGTTGTACCACATTCTAAGCTTTTAAAATTCCTACACTTGCCATAAAGATATGTCAACATTGGATCATCCTATATGTAAAGTCTTAAAATCTACTTGTATATCACTATGTATCATTAACATATTTCTGTGATAATATGGTAATTTTTAAAAAAATGGACATATGTTTTCTGATTATCAAAAATCCTATATAATAAACGCCTAATATGAAAATTGTCCCCTCGGGTGGTCATTTGACTGGGCGTTCGACCACTCGCTATGATGTGAGCTGACCACCAGGGGTCGGCGAGGAACATGGCTGGTGTCAGCGATGCAGCACTGGCAGCAGGCTGCAGTGGAGGTACTACCAGCCCCGATGGGCCCTGACAAGAGCAGGGCCATGGCGGGATGGTGGAGCAGGTGAGCGGGTGGGGCCAGGTCAATGCGGGTGCAAGCAGGGGCCCAATCGCCCCGCTGATCACCCCTCAGACAGCAACCAGCAGCAGTGGCTGGGGGCGGGGCCCTCACCCTGCTCCCAGGTGCTGAGGGAGCCAGGTGGGGGACCCAGCCCAACCGATCGCCCCACAGGTGGGATGGTAGAACAAGTAAGGGGGCAGCACCAGGCCAAGGCAGGGTGCCAGGCGGAGCTGCGAGGCTGGGGGCGCAAGCTGGGACCTGATCTCCGCAGGCCACCCCAAGGGACCCCACCTGAGCATGAATTCATGCACTGGGCTTCTAGTATATTATAATTGTAAAAAATTGAGAAAATATTGAATTGCATAAAGAATCAGGATTCTCTTTTAATACACCACTGTTTACATTCTAGTATATAGCTTTTTCCACCTACCACACTCTCTTGAACAGCTCTTCACCCCCTTCCCAAACCTTTAGGTTTCTTCATGAATCACATTTATATTCAAGCGGATTAGGCTATGTCGGATGGCGAAAATACAGCAAAGCACCGAACACACAAGTTACTATAAAGCATCCAGCACTCGTGTGATTTTGAACACACTTTTCCCTTACACTCATTTATAATTAGTGCCTAACATGAGATGGAGAAGAAGAAGGAGCATAGGACTTGGAATCCAAAGTTTCAGATTTGAGTGTAACTTCTGCTGAGACACAACCTATGTGGGCATCCATTTTCTCCCCCGTGACATGGCAGTTGTACAAAAATCTGCTTCCTAGGAGCTGGGTAAAGATCAGGTGAGGCCATGAACACAAAAGCAAATTTTGTGATAATTGTATAACTGCTCAGTGATGTTAATAATATTTGCTACTATTGATGACATTGAAAAGTATTTCCCTAATCTTGCATGCCCAACCTCTTAGGCCTTTTTCTAAAATGGATTTTTTGACAGAATGGAAGGGACTAAAATGATACGGCAGAAGAGCAGAGTGCAGAGGGCGGGAAAGCCTGCATCTCCAGGTGACTTGGGCCTCAGTATTCTCAGAGTAAATGGAGGAAATTGGACAAAATGGCCCCTAAATGCTCTTCCGGCTCTGAGATGCCGGTCAGTTATTCCGTGATCTGAGGCAAATCATTTCTCCGAAGGCCTTGGCTTCTCATTTGTAAAATGAAAGGGTTGGGCTGGGTGATCTCTGTGATCTGTTTCCCTCCTGAGTATTTACACAACCCGGTGACCTGCCCTCTGTCCTCCCTGTTCCCTAACATGCGCTAGGTGCCAGCTCGCCTTCCAGGCGTGGCCTCGGAGTCCACAGGTGGCGGGCTGTGGTTTCTTCTCTTCTCTCTGTTTGGTTTTTCCGCTGCATGCTCACAAATAGCCAGGTGCCAGCTTAGCAGAGGAAACCAACCCTCTGACACAGGGTGAGCCGGGGCTGCCCACTGGTTTACCTTCCCCATGCCCCGGGATTAAGCATCCTTCTCTGTTTCCGGGTGGAGCTGGGGCCTTTCTGGCCCTTTCCCATGTCCCCAGATGCCATGTGCTCCAGATAAACTCATGTGCAGTTTCTTCCAGGGTCAGCTGCCTGCCCTCTCCACTCTTTCTCCTCCTACCTCTGTCTGTGGTATTTTCCTTCAGGGAATGCCTCCTTCAACAAAATCGCTCTTCTTTATCTCCATAATCGGTAATCACCACTCCTTCTGAATTCTTTCTATGAGAGGTATGCACTTTTTTTTTTTTTTTTAGTTCCTATCAGTTTTTGTCTTTAAAAACAAAAACAAAAATACTCCATTGCTCCCTGCCTGTCTTCTCCAGGGCTGGGTGCCCCACGTCATACAAGCAAGCATTCGATGAGATGAGCCCTGGCTGGCATGAGTTGTAAGGGACTTTTGCACATCTACTCTTCCGCCAAGGCCTTGCACGGTGAAGCCGAGGCTTCGATATTTGTCTCAGCAGAGAGTTACTAACGCCACCATCACCAGCGCCAATGCGTAATCACAGTCTCCTGAATGAGAGACCCGGGTTTCACTGAACTGGATGATTCGCCAGAGACCAGGAGTCACAAATGGGATTTCCGCTCAGAATGACCGGGCTTCAGGCCCTGACGTTGCTATTTGTTGCTTAGTTACTTGCCATCTTACGTGGCTTCTCTAAGCCTCTGGCTTCTTTTCTATAATGTGGAATAGCAATGTCTTTCCCATAGGGTTGGCCTGAGGCTTAAAAGTTAACTGAGGTGAAACTCTTTTTTTTTTTAATAAATCTTTATTGTTCAGATTATTACAGTTGTTCCCCTTTTTTTCCCCCCATAGCTCCCCTCCACCCAGTTTGAGGTGAAACTCTTAACACAGAGCCTGGGGTCGGGAAATGTGGGCCATGCAAACTCCTGTCTCCCTCCTTAAAAACCGTATCACTGCCAGGTTTTTATTTGTTTATTTTTTAAATTACATTTATTGGGGTGACATTGGTTAATAAGATCATATAGGTGTCAGGTGTACATTTCTATGATACAAGACCTGCATACTGCACTGTGTGCCCACCAGCCAAAGTCAAACCAACCTCCCTCACCACATCTTAGACCCCCTCCCTCCTAACAGACTTTAACATTTTTATTTAGGTATCATGGGTATACAATTTCATATTGGTTATATTAATTTCCGGTGTACAATACAGTGATTCAACATTTGTATCCTTTACATGGTGATCACTCCACTAATTCTAGAATCATCTAACCGATTTAGATTGTGTATTGTTTGATCTAACTCAGGGCATACTCAAGACGCCCAGAAGGAGGGAAGTCAGTGCATCTTGTCATTTTCAATGGGCTTTTATGTGTATCATCTCATGATTCCCCGGAACGCTCCGGAGGGTGAGCAGTGCGGGTATCATTAGACCCATCTTTCAGAGGAGAAACCTTAGGCTCAGCGAGGTTAAACCATTTGCCCGCAGTCCGTTTGGTTATCAGAACAGGTGTTCCTAGTAGTTAGAATGTGTCTCTGAGACTTAAACCTGGGTTCGCTTAGTTCATTGCAAACTCTCTTTCCACAATACACTGAAATGATCAGGTGGAGGGGGAGAATTGCTTTCAACCTTAGCAATGGCGAGACCTGGATGCAGATGAACTAGGGAAATGTTCCCGGCAGGGCATTTTATAAACAGGGTAGAGGCAGGAACAATCGGGTTGGGCTCCAGGGAAAACGATTAGACATGTTTTGCTGCAGAGTTCATGGAAGAGCGGTAGAAAATAATGGAGTTAAGGTTGAGCATACACTGGAGGGCCTTAACTGCCAGACTAAGGAACTGAAACTGTAATTGGCCTAGGGGAGCCATTGAAGGTTTCAGAGGGGGAGAGGCCTCCAAGTCATGACTCACCAGGAATGGTTGAAGAAACTGATGCTTAGCCGAGAAAAGAGAAGACTTCTTGGGGTGTTTGCCAGACTTGGGGGAGGGCATGATCATTGTTAGGGGAAGGAAGAAAGAGCCTTGTTTCATGTGGGCTCCATGAAGGATTTGTGGGGAAACAGTGAGGGCCCATGGGTAGAAGCTCTAGGAGACAGATTCTCAGTTCACATGAGAAAGAACTTGCTGGTCTTTTCAGGGCTCTTTAACCATGATCCGGGCACTGGGAGGCACCAGGATGGAGCAGTGATGGACCAGGACAAAGTTCCTGCCCTCACGGAGCTCCTATGAAATTGGGGAAGATGTGCCTTAAAGTGAACCACCCCAGAAATGAATGCTTCAGCCCAAACTGTCTAGGGCAGTGATGGCGAACCTTTTGAGCTCGGAGTGTCAGCATTTTGAAAAACCCTAACTTAACTCTGGTGCCGGGTCACATATAGAAATTTTTTGATATTTGCAACCATAGTAAAACAAAGACTTATATTTTTGATATTTATTTTATATATGTAAATGCCATTTAACAAAGAAAAATCAACCAAAAAAATGTGTTCGCGTGTCACCTCTGACACGTGTGTCATAGGTTCGCCATCGCTGGTCTAGGGCAGGTATAGGCTGCTCTGACAGGTGTAAGTTCCCCGTCACTGGAGTTTTCCAGAGAAATGTGTCCAGAAAGGGGATTATTGTGTTCCGAGAAAGGCGGGGTCAGTAACTTCTCATGTGATTCTGTGCTTCTCCGGGTGTTGCAAAATCTTCAGCAACCCTAAATCCTTTAATTAAAAGGAGATAAAAAGGCAAAGATCAATTAGCGTCTTCTTTTTCAAAAAGCCCATACGTGCATGCTCCATCTTACCTGGGGTTCGAGGTGCAGGAGTGTGGCCAAGCAGGAAATTCATCCTCCTCGGAGCTGGGTGACTCCACCTATGAATTGAAAATCATTTAGCTGAAATTGTGACATCGTGTGCAAATTATGGCCCTGCTGCAGGTCGGGGCTGGGGCCCTGTGCAGCCGCGGCCCTGGCGCAATCCCCCAGCTGCTAACATGAGGACGACGCGGGGCGGGCGGCCAGGGCAGGGCCCCGCTGCAGTTAGCAGGCTCCAGGGGAGCGGGTGGGGCGGCTGGGGGGTGAGGGGGGGGAGGCCAGGAGCTGGGCCCCTGAGGTTGGCGCAACACCCCTCTGTCTACAGAGGAGTGTCACAGCCGCCATTTCAAGGTTTTGCGCCTGACTCCAGCCCTGGGAGGTGTGTGGGGAGGCAGATGGGGAAACTGAGGCTTTGAGATGTAAAGGGATTCTGCCAAGGTCACAGTGGGCAAGTCACAGAGCCCAGCTGGGGTCTCCTGAATCCAGGGTGGGCATCTTTCTACCACACCCTCTGGGGTCAAGGCTGATCAGACCTTCCCAAGGAAGACCACACGGTCAGTGGTCAGGCACCACTGCCCACACTTGTGGGTTCCATTGCCAAATCTGCAACACTCAGGACTGTGGGGTTCCCGGGGGGGGGGGGGAATAAGAATACTAATACTGTCAACACTAACGTGAGCCGGGCAGTGCCAGCCACTGTGCTAAGCATTTTATAGTCATCATCTCCTTTAGTCCCAGAGTAACTCTTCCTCCGTTTTACAGATGAGGAAGCAGAGACCCTGAGAGTTGAGGTGACTGGCAGAAGCAGAAGTGGAAACCTATGTCTACATAGTCTCGAAGGACCGCACGGCCTCCCTGTCTCCTCCGGAGGTGTCCTTGCCAAGTCATCGAAGGAATGTCCAGGGTCCAGTTCTTCTTGGCTCCCAGGCCAAAAATGTCAGCAGTAATAATAATAATAGGCAAACCCCTCTGTTTCTTTATAACACACTGGAGAGTGTGCGGGGCACTCTCACATCCATTCATCCCATTTGACCCCACAGGTCTTGGGGCTTCTGGCAGGACTGACTGGCCATAGGAAGGCCTTGTCCACATCCCAGCTCGTGGCACGGCAGGCGCCAAGACCCACACTTGAGCCTTCTCTTCAGGGTCCAGTACTCCTTGCCACATACCTCTCTACCCTCTCTCACTTCCGGGTCATCGGCCAGAGCCAACAGCGGTCGTTCTGCCCGGCCCGGGTGCAGAGCCACCTCTCTGGTAAAGCCACCGGAAGCCTGGGAATGGCTGCGGCCCCGCCTCTCTTAGGCAGCTGACCTCCAGGTTAAGTGACAGGCTCTGGAGTCGCTCACATGTGGATGGGAGTCTCCTGGTTGCACAGATTCATGTTAACCCGTTCCTTCCCCCTGAAAAAATATCAGTAATAATCGTACCTGTGTGATAGGACTGATATGAAGATGGGAAAGGGTCATATATGTGAAGTGTTTAGCCAGTGCCTGCCTGCGGTGAGCACTAAATTGAGGGTAGTTATTTCCATCTTTATGATGAGTGATTGATTCACGTGTTCAAAAATATGAGTGCTCCTGCCGTGTGGCCAGCCCATGCTAGGTTCTGAGATGTGAATAATATTCAGCCTGTGCCTTCAAGGAGCTCAGTCTAGGGATAGGGGCAGACAGAAACAGATCATAAACAGATGCAGGTGGTAGCAGAGGGCCTAGGTGTATAAAATGCTGTGCAGAGAGAAGACGTAGATTCCTCTTTCTCCAAACCACCTGTCTGTTCAGCCTCACCTTTCTCAAGACCCAGCACTCCCACATTTTTCTAAAGATCTTATCATCATGGAGCTGGGTCTTCATTTTCACTCCATCTCTGGGGGAAGGTGTGAGAAACTTCTGCTCTATCATGAATCCTCAAAGCGCTATCAGGCCCTGACCGGTTTGGCTCAGTGGATAGAGCGTCGGCCTGAGGACTGAAGGGTCCCAGGTTCGATTCCAGTCAAGGGCATGTACCTGGGTTGCGGGCACATCCCCAGTAGGGGGTGTGCAGGAGGCAGCTGATCGATGTTTCTCTCTCATCGATGTTTCTAACTCTCTATTCCTCTCCCTTCCTCTCTGTAAAATATCAATAAAATATATTTTTTAAAAAAAAAGCGCTATCAGTTTGTTAAACTCCCTATCACAGAAAGTGTTGGTACTGGTAAATATTCACAATATTTACCTATTGGATCTTTCGAAAAATATATTTCCTTAAAAGAACACACAAGCAAACAAAAAATATAAAGAAAACAGGTCCCTCTTCCCCCTCCTTTTCTTCGCCAATGCAGAACCTGGGCCCAGGGAGGGTCGGTGACTTACCCTCCAGTCTTACAGAGAACATGTGTTGAAATCATGTCACCACTACCAGACCAGTGGCTGTCCCCGCTGCCTCATTAAAAAGTTCTGGAAACACCCCAAGTGCCCATCCGTAGGTGAATGGATAAAAGAACTGTGGTACATTTACACAATGGATTACTTCACAGCCATAAAAAAGAAACTCTTACCTTTTGCGACAGAATGGATGGACCTGGAGAATATTATGCTAAGCGTAATAAGCCAGTCAGAGAAAGACAATACCATATGACCTTACTTATACATAGAATCTAATGAACAAAATAAACTGATGAACAAAATAGAAACAGACGCATGGATACATGGAACAGACTGACAGCTGTCAGATGGGTGGGGGAAAGGGCATGGATGTAAGAAGGTGAAGAGATTAGCCAAAAACCATATATACATAACCCGTGAACACAGACTACAGTGTGGTGATGGCCAGAGGGAAGTGGGGCAGGGGTTAGGTGGAGGTGGGCAAAAGAGGGGAATATGGGGACATCTATAATAGTATCAACAACAAAAATAAAGTTTGTGCCCTCGCTGGTTTGGCTCAGTGGATAGAGCATCAGCCTGCGGACTGAAGGGTCCCAGCTTCGATTCCGGTCAAGGGCACATGCCCGGGTTGCGGGCTCAATCCCCAGTAGGGGGTGTGTAGGACGCAGCTGATCAATGATTCTCTTTCATCATTGATGTTTCTATCTCTCTCCTCCTCTCTCTTCCTCTCTGAAATCAATAAAATATATTTTTAAAAATACTAATAAAGTTTAAAAAAACAACAACACATGTTTCCCCCAATCTGGAATCAAACTGACATTCAAATCCAGATGGTGTCTGGATTTACCCCCTTATGGGTCACATCTACGCAGTTTTCTTTTTAATCCTCACCTAGGATATGTTGTTGTGTGCTTTTTAATTGATTTTAGAGAGGGGGTGTGTGAGAGAATGAGAGACAGAGTTGGAGACAGAGAGAAACATTGATGTGAGGGAGAAACATCGATTGCTTGCCTCCCTGATGCACCCTGACCAGGGATGGAACTCACAACCTAGGTATGTGCTCTGACTAGGAATCGAACCTGCCACCTTCGGGTGCATGGGGCGATGCTCCAGCCTCCTGAGCTACCCAGCCAGGGCAGCATCTATGCACTTTTTTGACTTGTATCACCTCATTGGCTTCTTCCCTCTACTCAGTGATTAAGAAGAGTGGGCGCGAGCTCTGACTGGTTTGGTTCAGTGGATGGAGTGTCAGCCTGCGGACTAAAGGGTCCCAGGTTTGATTCTGGCCAAGGGCATGTGCCTTGGTTGCGGGCACATCCCCGGTGGGGGGCGTGCAGGAGGCAGCTGATTGATGCTTCTCTCTCATTGATGTTTCTTACTCTCTATCCCTCTCCCTTCCTCTCTGTAAAAAATCAATAAAATATATTAAAAAAAAAAGAAGAGTGGGCGCGATTACCCCATCACAGACTAGGCTCCCAAGGCTTCGAGGTTCAGTGATGGCCCCCCAGCCTTGCAACGGAGTGTTTCTAACTCCAACCCCAATGCTCCTCCTGGCTACCCTGAGCAGGCGAGCTGTGCTGAGCGCCTCACGTCCTTGTACAGGTGGAAACCCCAATATGTGTGACGAGTGAGAAAAGACCGAGGAATGCTCTGCTTCTGGTTTCTGCTGAGACATTTCTTGGAGACTTCTCAGCTCCAGCTCTGGACAGGATACTGAAAGAAAACCACGACAAAATTTCCCAAACTCTACAATCCAGAGAGGTGTTCACCTTTGGGAAAAAACTCACAAAAGTGAACTTTCTTTCTTATCTCCCCTCTTCTCCCCAAGTTGGTCTTGCATAAGCAGGCTGCCCTGCCATTGGGTGACGAGGATGTCGGGGATGTCGTAAGGGAAACGCTTACAGGCACTACAGGAATGACCTGGTGCCTCGCCCACCTCATTACAATTCTAATTGGGGTGTGTAGGAGAGGCTTCTATAAATGGTAAGGCAATCCTGGGCAGGCACTCATCTCCCCACTTCTCCCTGCCATTCCCAGTGAAACGCCAAGAAGAGGAAGAGACGGCAGAAGGCGAAGCATGGCTGGTGAGTGCATGGCATCTTCTCTACCTGGTCTCAGCGGGAAGCCCGGCTCCTCCTGGGCCAGCGGAGAGGCCAGTGTCCAGCCCAGGACAGCTGCCCTGGGGGCTCTGGGGGCTCGATCTTTGTATATTAAGATTCTGTTCTTTCTTGGTAGCTGCCCAGTCCCTCTAGAGTGGTTCCAGGGGTAGAACATATGTGGGATGTAGTCCTGAGTAAGGGACAGGATATTCAGCATCCCTTTAGACCAGTGGTTCTCAACCTTGGCTGCACATTAGAATCACCTGGGAACCTTTTTAAAACCCTGATTTCTGGGCCTCATCCTCAGGAAATTTTGTTGCTTTGTTACTAATGCTGTGGCCCCATCCCATAACAGAAACAGAATTTCTGGAGCATGAGGCCCAGAAATCAGGATTTTACAAAGATTCCCAGGTGATTCTAATGTGCAGCCAAGGTTGAGAACCACTGCTCTAGACAGATGGATATAAGCTTTGCTGTGTCAAGCCAGCTGGTACCTGCTTCCCGTGTTTCTCGGGGCACTTTTACCAGCTGTCAGTAACACAGGCAAAGAAAAGCACATCTCAGAGCCACAAGGCAGTGAGCGCGTGACAGCCTGTAAATTGATTTAAAAGAAGCCAGCAGCAGCACAGGAATGCTTCTAAGTAAACTACACACTCGGAAGCAGCGGCAGCCTCTTTGGACGTGAGTTGATGAGCTGAAACCTCCCAGTAGCAGAAGAGGCAGGTGTGCCAGGCTCCCTAGGAGCAGCGCCAGGGAAGGCGGGTGGGTAAGAACCACAAGGCGTGCAGGTCCTTGAGCTCTGCGGTCACCACAGAGGATCCGGGCTCTTACTAGGCAGCCCCCCCGCTAGGCGGCATGCTGACTATCGCCGTCCTGGGCGCTCGGCCTAGTGCCTTGCCAACCCCCAAAAAAAGGCATGAACCCAGCCTGTAAAACATCGTGAATGGTGGTTAGGGCCTCAGGAAGGTTTGCCAAAGAAATCGCTGAGCATCGTACAAAAGGTGAATGCTGGTTCCTTCAGGACAGGGCAGCAAAATGGACACCACCTCCCACCCACATTTCCTGCAGCGAACATGCGGCAACACGCTGGGTTGCTAAGGAGAGGAGCTTGGGATCCTGTCGACTGTAGCAGGAGATGTCAGCTGTCACCGAGGCCATCGCCCTCCCCCAGGGGGAGGAGGCAGTCCAGGAAGGGCTAGAGACTTACCAGATCTCTCGGAAAGTGGGTGGCACAGCCCAGACCCGGTCCCAGCAGCACCCTGGCCACTGTGTCCTGTTAGCAGAGCTGGTCCCTCACTTGAGCTCTCCCAGCAGTCTCCGCCTTCCCTGCCAGCACCAAGCCTCGGGCTCTGGTTGTAAGATGAAGGGCTTGAAATAGATGGACTTTCAGGTTTCCTCCGGTCCTGGCGACTCTCACCTTGAGAAGAAGCCAGGGACAGAGAGCAATGGGCCCCAGCAGTGCTCACCCCCTGGGGCCGGGGCCGGGCGTGGGCCGTGGGTGGGTGGGTAGCCCCGGGCCCGCCGCTGCGCTGCCTGCCGTGAGCCCGGCTTGTGTGCCAGTGCCTGTGAGTCAGGAGGTCTTAACCTCTTAGAGCTCAACGTCTAAACCAACCAGAGACCTTCTGAGGTCACAACCCAACAGAGACATGGCTGGTTGGAAGGAAATAAGTTTTTAAAAAGGCGGGGAACAGACCAGAGAATCTTTCTTCCCTTCCATTTGCCAACATGCAGTTCCCAGCTCAGCTCCTGGTCGCTCAGCCACAAAGTGCTCAGTCAGGGCCTCTGGAATGAATGAAAGTATTCATTGGACACCCAGGGCGAGGGGCCCCAGCGGGCGCAGTGGGAGGCGGAGATGAAGGAGCTGTGTCTCTGCCTGGCGTGCTTGGTCAGGAGCAGTTTGTGGCGTGAGGAGTGTTCTGGGCAGCGGGGACGGGAGGTGGGTGGGTCAGCAGGTGCGACCCAGGGGACTATGGGTCCATGTGCATAGGTTGGAGAGAACTGTGTCCAGTTCCCAATTTAAGCTTCTTGCTGGAATCAGCGGGGGTTCGGTGACTGCCTCCTGGTGGAGAGGGCAGCTGGGCTATGGGTGGGGCGGTGGGGGTGCAGGAGGGCCTGCCAGTGTTCTGCATGAAGTTCAGTTGACCTTGAACACCACGCATCTGAACGGGGAGCAGATTTTCTTAACTCTCACACCTGAGTTGTTCAGGGTCAGCTCCTCAGCTGGGAATCCCTGTGTGCAAAGGTACCTGTGGATTTTCAACTGAGGGCAGCCGGCACCCCTCCCCCCAGCCCTGCAACGTGGCGCCCTCTGTCTGCTGCCCACTGAGTCCAGGCCCCAGGGTGGACGGGAATGCAGGCCGTGAGCACAGACCCTGGGCTCCCTGTGGAGTGGAGGCCTCGCTCCCCATCCCCACATCCACTCAGAGGCCCCGGGTCGGAGGCAGAGCTCTCAGGGTTCAAACATGAACCTCAGGCCCTGCCTGCGAGAGGCCAGGCCCTCCCTGCCGGGACTAACACTGGCCGCGGGGGCAGGAGGCTCTCTGCCGACTGTGTTGCTGGGCAG